AATTCTCCTCTGGAAGCCCTGTGACATTTTACACTTGTGATAAAATCAGCCAGACAGTAAACTGGAAAAATGCCAGGAGAAAACAGGTTGTCCGATACATGTAAGCTTACACTGCAGCAAAATGCTGCTAAAATTTTGGCTTGATACTAAAATATAAAATATACAGTTCACGCTTCATCCAATGTAACAAAAATATGTATTCAAGGTAAAAAGTGCCAAGTGTGACGTAAAAAAGTCAATAAAGCAATTCCTCAGCAATTCCCAAACTGATCCTCAAGCACAAGTATATCTTTTGTGATCACATCACAGAAGCATAGATAGGAGAACCTACTTGGTTGCTTCAGTGACTATTCCTTTCAGTGAGGAGGAAATAAAATAGCATGCACTGCTGGGGTGTCCTGAGGACATGTTTAGGAACCTCTGCAGCATATGATTTGAGAGGCTGAAGCCTTTAGGCTTAGAAGGTGCAGTGAATATAAAAAGTCTACACGCCCCTGTTAAAATGTCAGGTTTCTGTGAGGTAAAAAAAATGAGACAAAGATAAATCATTTCAGAACCTTTTCCACCTTTAATGTGACCTATAAACTGTACAATGCAATTGAAAAAAACAAACTGAAATCTTTTTGGGGTGAGAAGTAAACATAAAAAACTAAACTAATGTGGTTGTATAAGTGTGCACACCCTCTTATAACTGGGGATGCAGCCGTTTCAGAATTAAGCAATCACATTCAAAATCATGTTAAATAGCAGTCAGTACACACCTGTTATCGTTTAAAGTGCCTCTGATTAACCCCAAATAAAGTTCAGCGGTTCTAGTAGGTCTTTACCGACATTCTCTTAGTCGCATCCTACAGCAAAAGCCATGGTCCGCAGAGAGCTTCCAAAGCATCAAAGGGATCTCATTGTTAAAAGGTATCAGTCGGGGGAAGGGTACAAAAGAATTTCCAAGGCATTAGATATACCATGGAACACAGTAAAGACAGTCATCATCAAGTGGAAAAAATATGGAGCAACAGTGACATTACCAAGAACTGAACGTCCCTCCAAAATTGATGAAAAGACGAGAAGAAAACTGGTCCAGGAGGCTGTCAAGAGGCCTACAGCAACATTAAAGGAGCTGCAGGAATATCTGGCAAGTACTGGCTGTGTGGTACATGTGACAACAATCTCCTGTATTCTTCATATGTCTGGGCTATGGGGTAGAGTGGCAAGATGGAAGCCTTTTCTTACGAAGAAAACCATCCAAGCCTGGTTACATTTTGCAAAACTACATCTGAAGTCTCCCAGAAGCATGTGGGGAAATGTGTTATGGTCTGATGAAACCAAGGTTTAACGTTTTGGCCATAATTCCAAAAGATATGTTTAGCACAAAAACAACACTGCACATCACCAAAAGAACACCATACCCACAGTGAAGCATGGTGGTGGCAGCATCATGCTTTTGGGTGGTTTTTCTTCAGCTGGAACTGGGGCCTTAGTCAAGGTAGAGAAAATTATGAACAGTTCCAAATACCAGTCAATTTTGGCACAAAACCTTCAGGCTTCTGCTAGAAAGCTGAACATGAAAAGCAACTTCATCTTTCAGCATGACAACGACCCAAAGCATACATCCAAATCAATAAAGGAATGGCTTTACTAGAAGAAGATAAAAGTTTTGGAACTGCCAGAGCCCAGACCTGAATTCGCTAAAAAAAAAAATCTGTGGGGTAATCTGAAGAGGGCTGTGCACAGGAGATGCCCTCACAATCTGACAGATTTGGATTGTTTTTGCAAGGAAGAGTGGGCAAATATTGCCAAGCCAAGATGTGCCATGCTGATAGACTCATACCCAAAAAGACTGAGTGCTGGAATAAAATCAAAAGGTGCTTCAACAAAGTATGTTTAAGGGTGTGCACACTTATGCAACCATATTATTTTAGTTTTTAATTTTTACTTCCCTCCACATAAAAGATTTCCGTTTGTTGCTCAACTGTGTTGTACAGTTTATAGGTCACATTAAAGGTGGAAAAAGTTCTGAAATGATTTATCTTTGTCTCATTTTTTAACAACACAGAAACCTGACATTTTAACAGGGGTGTGTAGACGTTTTATATCCACTGTATAAACTTTAAAGCAGAACTCCACTTATGAGTGTCCATATTGTCCCAACAATAGAAAGCAAAAAGGAATCCCAATTTTCCACAGTGCAGCTACCCAGTAACCAAAATCCTTACATTGGTGTGAGCCAAGTAGTACAAAATCATTTGATCTATGTTTATCAGTTCAGATAACTGGACTAGACAAGTGGGATGCTAAAAGGGGAACAGCAGGTAAAAGGAGTCATCTTCCGATATATAAGCAAAGGTATGTAAACATATATGTGGTGTAGCTGTGTTACAGGTGTGTTTAGATCAAAATTATATTGCTGCACAGTGACCAACCAGTGCATGATTTCTTACTAGATTCTATTCTGACTGAAAATTTGGGTGTCACTAGAATAGGTATTAAAGCAATATCTGTGGAAGGGTGACACAGAAGGCACAGTGCAACCAGTGCATGATTTCTTACTAGTTTCTATTCTGACCAAAAATTTGGGTGTCACTAGAATAGGTAGCAAGGCGATATCTGTGACACACAGAAGGCAATAAAAAACTGTTCAGAATTTTTAAAAAAATGCCTCGAGTTAAGCATTAAAGGCAAAGTTTATCTTTATGTAAAAAATAATAAATGCACACAGAACGTTTGCAGGTAAAAATGCGTGCATTTATTTATTTTTACACAAGGGCCGGCAAAGTACGGCACAAACGATCAGTGGATCGCGGGTGCAATATCAGGCTCCTGCACACTCTCAGTTTTCTGCCCGTATGGGCTTTCAGTCACAAAAATGGAGAAAGATTCAATGGAATACAAGTGCACTGATCAGTGTACTACTAGTCCATTAAGCACTACGAGCCATCTGCTGTGTTGGCTTATTCATTTACAGAGTTCAGTAAATGATTGATGAGGCTGTGCGAGAGGAGCCCCATACAGTTGCGTCAATTTTAAATGTGATTGGGGTGGAGGGGGGGGTGTAAGGTCCTTAGCAACACGAGACATGTTACACACTAAATATGGGAGTAAACTGTAATGTGTTCCTAAAGGTGAACCTATCTTTTAAATTTTTTTTTTTTTAAAAGCTAGCAGGAAGAGCTTCTTTGGTTAAAGTGTCTTCTCTGCCAAACAACTGCTTTATCATTTTATTTATTTTTTTGCACACGGCACAAGCAAACTGCACTGTACATTCTGTAAGTTGACAATAATGGAGCCGGGTGCTGGGACTGTGTAACTTCTGCACACATGCGCTAAAGTTGCACTATCCTTGGCCCTCAATGGCCAAAGAAAGAAGATGCTGCATATATAAGCAAACAGGGAGAAGGTGGTGGCCGCTAAAAACAGTGACCAGGGGGAGCAAGGACCTCACTTCAGTGGAGGAGGGCACACAAGGGGGCAAGTGTGCCATAACCAGCAAGTTTGCAATGCATGCTTTCAAATTATAAAAAAATTTCCAGGGACACACTGCAGATTTATTTCCGCTATAGGGCTTGTTCACACCTTTGCGGTTTAGATGTGGTGCATGTATGCATGTGTTTTATGGTACTATATAATATGCTGACTGGCATCATTATAAGTGTCCATACACAAAAAAATCAAGCATTTGTGTAGAAGGGCAAACAGTGTAATCAGATAAAGATCTGGGACCAGAAACATTACTACCGATGCAATAAAATGTAATCTTTAATAAAGTCTTTCAGAAGCATTTCAATTCTACAAAAAGACAAAGTGATTTTTACTTTTTTTTTTTTTAAATATCATACGTTATACTTACCTGCTCTATGCAATGGTTTTGCACAGAACATCCCCGGTCCTCCTCTTCTGGGGTCCTCCATCACCACTCCTCCCCAGTGCAGAGTACTCGAGTGGGCTCACTTCTGAGTTGGCTCTGTGTGTCCATGGACACACAGAGCTAGGCTCTGCCCCATCCTCCACTCCCTCGCCATACGATTTCATTGACAGCAGCTGCTATCAATCTGTCCTGTGAGGAGGGAGAAAGCCATTGTTCTCGTGCACAGTGATGGAATGAGATCGGGTTCAGTAAAGTGTAAGGGATGGCTAGAGAGGGGGGATCCTGGACATAGATTTATTATCTTAATGCAGAAAATGCATTAAGGTATAAAACATTAAGGCTTTAGAACCCCTTGAAATGTTGCTATATTGAGGCTCCACCTAAGTAGCTACCTAAATGAATCTGCCCAAATACTCAGCCTGACAATACACAAATGTGTGCAAAAACTAAAATATAGCTACATTAATATGAGTCATGTTATCAATATTCTTACTGTGCTAGTAGTTACTTAGCTGAGGCCTCAGTATAGCAATGTTTTATTTTTTTTTTTGTACAAATGAAATATTTTTAAATTACTTTTTTATGATTTTACGTTTACAATCGTTATTTACTAATGGTAATGCTTGTGTGTCCCCAGATCTTTTTCTGATTATACCTTATGCTATGCATGCATTTTACAAGCATTTCACATGCATTACCACTGAACTGTAGGAAACAAGTGTTTTGGTAAAACTGCACCAAAGATGCTAAAAGTAGGAGTTTATATACCTTTTTTTTTTACTGCAGCACACCTAAATTTCGTTTATGTGCAGGTCAGGATAAGTTTGATTATTCAAAATAGCACTAATGAATAGCAAGCAGTTATCATTGCAAATAAAATGGAAATCAGATTGGTCACTGTCCAGCAATACCAGGGGCACAGGGAATCATACTGGGCCATTTGCATACATGACACAAACATTGTATGATTCCAGCTAGGTGAAGGCAAAACCATACGTGGCAGAATAATAGCTATATTTGCAGAAGCATGCCTTGCAGATATAACCCTTTAATAAAAGTGGAATTATGCTGGAATTCAGTGCATAAGTTCACAGTAGTGCAAAAAAAAAACAGCCAGTTCACAGGATATAGAAGTTTACTAAATATTTGCAGACGTTGGTAAAATATGGCATTTTTTCAGTGTCATTCGGATTGACCCCAGATCACGGTTAATTTTTTCCAGGCGATCTTCCAAGTTTTCCTGAAAAAGAAAACAAGAATATCAAATGGTATTTATCATTCTAATAAAACTTTCCTTTCTCTATGCCTATAATTATCTCATGAGTGAAATTCATCCTATACATTTAATAACTTGAACAAATACAGCAGAACAGAGCAACACGTTACCAAGCAAAACACCTATGTAAATAAACATTAGCTGACTTCTCTTGCCATAAAAAGCAAACTATCATATTTTCATTTATTTCTCTACTATTCATGAAAAAAATGCAATGACAGAAAGGAAAAAGCCACCTCTATGTCTATCTATGCACCCCAAAAATAAACCTATTATAGTAAGGTGGAATATGTGATACAAATCATTTATCACCAAGTGGACCCCTTGTTGGGAGGGCTGGTAACCAATGTTAGTGGCCTGGATATGCAAATGTAGGTGTATTATTAGGTCCTTGTAGCCATACAACACATATTTATAGCCAATTTCTACTAGCTTAAGTCATTAGAGATACGAACAGTTCCTAGGTTGTTTAGCACATCTCAGACAGCCCCAAACAAGAAACACATAGGCAAACCGTCACACATACACATATACCAAGTAAATAGCAGATGTGTTATGCCTTTTCCTTGGCTAGACATTCCATTTTCAGCTGATTTAAGGAAACAATTAGGTAATGGGTAAATAAAATATACACTATAGTACTTTTGTTTTTTGGAATTTATGACTGATGAGTGGCATGGTGGTTGAGAGCATTTCATCATAAAGCTGCAGTAGATTTTTAGATCAGAGAACAAAAGAATCTGGAAACAGTTGTGGAGGAGAGGAATACTACATAAACCTAATGCAGACCCACCTATTAATTTAAGGGGTTGGGATATCTGGTGAGTATATCTACATTTGGTGTATGAGCACTGGAAAGCACGGAGGTGTATTATAGTCCATTAGTCACACATACAGGAACACAGTGAAGGCACAAAAAAGAGGCATAATAAAGAACACATTTTTATTGTTTGGGACTCTTAAAGGAATACAGTCTTTTTTATGAGGAAATGTAATATGGATGTGGTTTTGGAAGTCACTTTATGCTTTATTTAAAGTCAGAATTGTTCATAGTATAAAACATCTTTTCTTTTCACAGGAATTTGTTGTTACCCATACATATCTTGAGTTTATTTTGTAAGCGCTATTATTTTGGTTGATTTCACTGATTACTCCTAAAAGGGGGTTAATTGAGTGTGGTGCCTAGCAGCTGGTTAGTGATCACTTTGGGGAGAAATCTGAATAACTATTATTATTCGCACATCTCCAAAAGTACAGTGCTTTAACAACTATTCAACTGTTACCTATATGTACAGACATTTACTGTTATTGTTACCATTTATTCTAATCTTTGTATTATTTATAAAGATGAATATCATTTGGATAAAACAAGGTGACAAAATGCTACCTTCATGGCTCGCATCTGCAAGCTCATTCTTCGACCAACACTTGGCATTCGGCTGAGAGCAGCTTCTATCTGTGTATACAAATAGTGTGCAGGTTAGCAGAGGGATAGAATATATACTACAACAGTAAATCAAGAAGAGACAATCTTAAAAGCGATCAGAAATATTTTCTGTGGCTTTGCTGCTTCTGTTATAAATGCTTTATCGTTCTTTAACCACTTGGCAACCGGGCTATAGCCGAATGATAGCTACAGTATGGTTGTCCAGTTCTGGGAGGGCGTTATATGACGTCCTCCCAGAAGGCGCCCTCCTGTGCGCCCCCAATGGCACGTACCCGGCGATCTCCGTGATCGCTGTGTGCTACAGCCAAATCACAGCAGCCTTTTACCATGTGATCAGCTGTGTCCAATGACACAGCAGATCACTGGGTAAATGCAGTTGCTGGTTATCGGCTGCACTTTCCTCACGCTGTCACAGCGTGAGGAAAGTACTGCCGATAACCGTCAATTGTCAGAAAACAGATAGGCACTGATGATCAGTGCCCAGAAGTGCCATCCACCTGTGCCCAGCAGTGCCACACACAAGTGCCAAGCAGTGCCACCCACCTGTGCCCATCAGTGCCTAGCAATGCCACCCATCAGTGCTGCCCAACAGTGCCACCCATCAGTGCCCATCATTGCTGCATATCAGTGCAGCATCATCAGTGCCACCTATCAGTGCAGCCTTATCAATGCACATCAGTGAAGGAGAAAAAAATTACCTGTTTGCAAAATTTTATAATAGAAACAAAAGGAAAACTTTTTTGCTCTTTTTTGCTTATAGAGCAAAAAATAAAAACACCCAGTGGCGATTAAATACCACCACAAGAAAGCTCTATTTATGTGAAAAAAGAGATAAAAATTGTATATGGGTACAAAAGGTGCATGACCGCGCAATTGTCATTCAAAGTGCGACAGCACTGAAAGCTGAAAATTGGCCTGGGCAGGAAGGGGGTAGGCAAGTGGCTAATGAGATTAATTTTAATGAAGTAACAAAGGTTCTACCATTGGTACATTTAACCTTCATTAAAATGTATGTTAGCACACACTTTTCAGCACTGGTTTTTGGGGGTGTTTTTTTCGTTGCTGTGGTGCCTATTCAATAGTTGTAATTTTCTTACTTTTTGCACTACGCTCTGCTTTCTTCATCTCAGTTTTTTATATATAATAAACAATTTAACATACAAAAGTATAGTATGATATGCCTTTGTATGTTTACATTTCAAATCATATACGTGTTTGCTAAACACCTTTATCTCCTTAATAAATAAAAAAAACTATTTGCGTTCAAAAAACCAACCTAATCTACATGAAAATACTTCATCAATGAGGAATAAAGCTGCAGCATTAAAAGTGTCCAAATTTCTCAAAATCAATTGCATTGTTTGCACTAAATTACCTTTATCCCCTTAACTGTCAAGACCATATTTAAAATGTCATCAATCATGCCCCTCATCGATATAAATAGTGCAATTTTTATTAAAAATGCTATTTTGAACAACATCTGTGCAACCATCAAAGAACCTCAAAATTAATCAGTTCCATATTTTAATTCTTTAGGTTCTGCATTTCCAGATAATTTGTAGTTTAGGGGACCTTTATAAAACTTACAATTGTTCAATCTTCCCACTCTAATAAAAAGGTGTTTTTGTCTGTGTCCCCATTGATGGACAGGAAGTAAGGGGAAACCTACCTAAGAGGCACATAAATGCCAATAGAAATCAGACTGTCCAAAATAAAAACAAAAACAGTTTAGCTGGAATTTGTCAGATGAGAAGGGACATGCAGGCATTTCAAAAGCGAATTATATCGTGTACTGGATTAATTAAAATTTTTGGAAACAAAATTTTATTTTAAACAAAATCCAGACTTTTCCTCATATGTTAATAGATAACATGTTTTGCTGTAATCAGAAAGAAGCCATATTATGTCTCCTGATGGCCATAACTAGGAATAAAAATGATAGCACTTTGGGATTAAAATGTTGTACTTTGTAATTGTTATTGCATAATGTTCATTATCAGAGAAAGGGGCCTTAAACTTAAAATTATGGAAGGAAGCATAGCTTTTATCAACTGGAAAGGTGAGGCCACGTTCAATTTAAATTCTAAACAACTGAGGGCTGCTAGGACACCAGTTTGACACCTGCGGCAAAAAAAAAAAAAAATCATATGAGGGAAACATGTTAGCTGTCAGAAAATGATACACAAATGTGTTAGACTGAGGTTAGACTTATGGGTGATCAAGGCAACTCATCCCTTTTTTAGTATGAATTAGGAACAAATGGAACATTTTGGATGCCAAAAAAGACATTCAAGTAGTAAGAAACCTGAATTTTTTTTTTCCATAGCTTAACACATTGAGCATAATACAAGTAAACATTTCACAGTAACTGTTTGTTAAAATTCTTACCCCAGCAGTTGCAGTTTACAACTATCAATACTGCTGTTTCCTGCTCTCTCAGTGCTGTTTCCCTGAACTTCTAGTCTGCAAAGGAAAGTGGACAGTGCTGTCTTCAGTCAGTCTGTTTTGAGAATGGAAGGGGAGGAGAAGCAGAGCAGTGCCTTGCCATCCTTGGATATTGAGCTGTGTGTTATTATTGATGCACACTGTGTAGGGAGACAAAACTCTAGTCCCTGCATGCATGGATGCTGCAAGAGAAAGGAGTCACCCTGAAATGGGAAACCTAGTCATGGCACCAGCTTAAACTGGAATAAAGGGCAAGGAATTAAGATAAAGAAGCTGCATACTAAGTAAATTATTAAATCGGCAGCTGAAAGTTATTAAAAGCTGAATGTTTCGCATTTTTCTTGGCACCCAAAAAGTTCCATTTACATGACTATTCCTGAGCTGCCAGAAAATATGGATGTTTGGGAGATAGCATGACAACCAAACAAGTCGTTTTTTTCTGAAGGAGCTCAGCAATAGCAGTTCACATATTTGTCTTACATCAGATTTCCTTAAAATGGGCAAGGGGGGTTTAAAATTGAGGAAGTAACAGGTGTAGATGTAGCTTGTAGGATTTCAACTGTTACTTTTCCTGCTTCAAGTTGTTTAGGGGCGAATATCTGCACAATGAACCATTTTTCCTATCTGGTCATGTGACTGGCCTGAGGCAGTTGTTGACTCTGGATGCACAACCTGCCAATTTTGTATGCAAGGTGTGTTAATTTATGATAAAACAGGCACTTCCTTACCATGTCAGAAAAAGTCCGGAAAATTAAGTGATTGCTGCTTTTAGAAATAATGTACACAGTTTCAATTATTACTCCACTGCAAGGCATGGACCTCATCTGCCTAATCTTTGATATGGCTCTTAAACAGTGTTCAAATAAAAATAGCACTCTTACAGCTGAGCACTGTACCTGTTTTTTTTCTCCTCTGTTAGCTCATCAAACAGCCTCTCTGTGTCGGCTATGTTTTTCATCCTCTCGTTGTATGTGATTTCAGTCTCATATGGTGGCATTACTAGAGGGAGCTGTGGCTGGGTGTTGTTCTCTGGAATAATGACAGTTTTTTGCCTCTCTAAGAAGCAGAAAAAGGAAACACACTGTTAAAAGCAAAATAAAATATTTAAACACTTGAAATACAGAAAAATACCTGTTGATCCTCCAGGGAGCCGGCCATGCTGTCTCTCTGCTGTACCAAAGTCCCCCACTGGGTTTTTAGCCAGATTAACAGTTTTTTTTTTCTATAAATGCAGTGTTTTTAAAAAAGACAACACTTGGGGGACATGTACACTGTGTGCACAAATATTAGGCAAGTTGTATTTTTGAGGAATAATTTCATTATTGAACAACTACAATGCTCTTGGTCAATCCAATGTTAATAAAACTCAACCCTGAATATTTAAGTAAAAGCGAGGTTTTGGCTTTCTTAGGGGAATATCTATGTGTGAACAATTATTGGGCAACTATTAATGTGTAGAATTATTATGCAACTAAATGAAAAAATTTAAGTTTTCTAGTCTCACTTGTTTATGTTCATCTGTTAAAGTGAGAATAACAAAGAGACAATTAAAAATTTACAAATAAACATTTCTGACATTTAAAAAAAAACAAAAAACAAAAAACAAAAAAAAAAATCAGTGACCAATACAGCCACCCTTCTTTTTCTTCTTTTTCATAAGCCTTCCAATCATGGAGTCTATCAGTTTCTTGATCTGCTAACAACTTTTTGTGCAGCAGCAGCCACAGCCTCTGAGAGGTGTACGGTTTTCCTTCACCATAAATCTCCCGTTTAAGAAGGGCCCACAAGTTCTCAAGTTCTCTGGGGTTTATAGGTCAGGTGAGGAAAGGGGCCTTTCTTTCATCTTTAAGGCATTTACTGGCTAGTCAAGCAGTGGAGTACTTTGATGCATGCGATGGAGCATTGTCCTTCATGAATATCATGGTCTTCTTGAAAGATGCAGTCTTCTAAAACTGGCAGTAAGTTTGGGAGTTCATTTTGAGTCCATTTTCAACCTGAAAAAGGTCCAACTAGCTCATCTTTAATAATACCAGACCATACAAGTACCCACATCCACCTTGCTGGCCTTTGAGTCAAAGTGGAGCTCTGTGCCTGTTACTGATCCAGCCACGGGCCCATCCATCTGGTCTGTCAAGAGTCACTCTCATCACATCAGTTCATAAAACCTTTGAAATATCTATCTTCAGATATTTCTTGACGTTTCTTAATTTCAAGAGTGCTGCATCCCTCTGACAAACTTTAAAATTATTGACTTTTCAGAGTCAGTTAAATCTCTCTTTTGGCCCATTTTGCCTGAGGAAAAGACGCTGCCGCATTTATGCACACCTTGATATAGGGTGTTGATCTCCTTAGGCCGCACCCTCCCTCTTTACACAAATACATATCACCTGACATGCTTAAATCTAATAAGCGTTCAAATTTATACAGCTTGGAATTGGACAATATGCATAAAAATAATGATTTGGTCAAAATACTCACTTGCCTAATAATTGTGCACACAGTGTATGTATTGAGGAATGTAATGTATTTTTTTTAAATTTGCCCAAGCATCAATAGAGTCTACATGATTTTCTATTATCTCCAAACTTTTTAGTGTGGCGCTACTAAATAGTTAAAACAAACTAAATATTGTGCATCACTGGCATACTTATATGTGCATCCTCCTCAAATAAATCCAATAATGTGATGATCTGAAATTAGTGTTAAATCCTAAAGAAATGTCCAACTTGTGTGTGATGTACTACAAAACACCTCCTCCACAGAAACATAAATATTCTCCTGTGCTGATTTATGCAACAGTGATCTGTAGAACATTCTACAGATTTGTACTGAAAACAGGGCTGCAGCAGGATATGATCAGGCAAAAACCTTGCCACATGGGAGGGCATGAGGACAAATATGGGAAAACATGCAACAGGGAATGGATAAATAAAACTGTATACCCTCTTAAATAAAAGACACGACTAAATTACAAATAGAAATAAACGGCCTTCAAGTGTAAGTGAAACATTAATGCAGTTACAGTTTTCTTAACCTGCCCACCAGATTTATACTCACTTGTCCCCATTTTGCTGCAATTTTGGCCACGTAGCCTCCTGGACACTGCACAGCCGTATATACATGTGTGTTCAGCAGTCTTCACTGGTACCTATGTAGAGGTTGTACTCTTATGGATCATTCAATATGACCAAAAGATTATATGGAATTTGCAGCACACATGTGCCAGCTTGACAGAGAGGATTCTTACAGGTGGTTGTGTGGCACAGAGGAAGCTGCAAATCCAAGATCTAAGCAGATCGGATACAAGTGAGTATAAGGCTGGCAGGGAGTTCTGGAAGTAGGCAGCAATTGTACATAAAGTGGAAACAATCTTTACTTTTTCTATTTATTATTATATTATACAGCATTTATATAGCGCCAACAGTTTCCTCAGCACTTTACAATATAACGGGAGACAATACAGCAACAATACAGTTCAATACAAGAGGGATAGGAGGGCCCTGCTCCTTGGAGGTTATAATCTATTAAAATTTTTATAATGCAACTGTATTTCACAGTTACACTATTAAATAAATGACACTGCAGATAAACACTATATACAAATATAGTTGGGATCTTGCTAAATGAGAAATTTGGTTATTCTTTACCTTCTGAATCTTCCAAAGACATAAACTGAAGCCTCTTTCTAGGACTTGGATCTTTACACTTTGATGATTCTGCCCAAGCAACATCAAACCTACAAGCACAGGAAATAATCAGTATATAAAAAACAAATGTTTTTCCACTAATAAGTTTGGTAAATTAAAGAAAGCCAAGACTGTTACTCAAGAATTTTGAAAACCTAAATAAAATCCAGACGTGTCCTCATATGTGTTAATAGATAAATATGTATTGCTGTATTAAAACCAATACCTTGTCACTGTGTTTTCCTCATCACATAACAACGGACTCAACCCTGGAGAAAGATTCTCACTTGGAGAACGCTTTGGACTGTACTTCACTTGCAAAGGGATTAACATCAATTCACGCTTTGCTGCAATACAAAGTGAATGGAGAGTCTACATTATGCTGAAACAATTACACCAAGCAATTGATAACTATAAAATATACTCAATCTAATTACAGAACATTAAAAGGGTTTTTCCAGTGCAGCAAATATGATTCAGACTCTTTAGTTACTAAAACAGAAGGATCCCATCCTGCTGTCTGCACTGGTTTACTAGCAGTCTTTTCTGTATCACCACCTCCATGAAAACTTTGGCAGCAGGATTCCACATTTTATGCTGGAAGGGCTGTTCTACAGTATGTATGTTGACAAAATAATAAAAACACTAAACAAGATATTAACATCTGGGACTGTCTAACCCCTTGACGCCGACATCACACAAATATTCGGCCTCACAGAACTGGGCCTTTTTCCATGGGGCCGCATATTTGCGTACCTGTCTTTGTGCACAAAGACCGGGGTGTCACTGAGAGTCCCAGGTCCCATTCTAACGATCGGGAACCGAGACTCCCGATTCCGGGTCACATGATCGCTGTGATAGCCTCAGATTTGCTGTCACAATGATCAGTCAATGTACAGCCCGGCCCCCTTGTTTTTTTTTTTTCTCTCTACAAATGGAGAGGAGAGATACATTGTATCTCTCTAACTCCTGGAATAAAGGGGGGAAAAAAATGTTTGTTAAAAAAAAAAAAAGATAAAATAAATATTAAAAATAAAATAAAAAATAAAGAAATACCTATGTCAAGGTTTGATCTAGTTCAGTGCCAGGGTAAGTGTTTGGGTCAAGGTCAGGGTCAAAAGTCAAGGTCAAGATTTTTTTTGAGCGCTATTGTTTCTGGGCTGTACTACGGGTACAAACAACAAGTAACATACACATATATGGTATCGCTGTGATCGTCAAGAGCTGAAAATTTTATTTTGGGGTTGTTCTTTGCTGGTAGGTTATGGTAGTAACAAGAAACACACAGCTAAATTTAAAAAAAATGATTTTTTTTTTTACTATTCTTGGCCAGATTTCCTTTGATAACAAAAAAAAACATAAACAAAATTAGGAGATATCTATTACCATTTACCACCAAATGAAAGCCCAATTTGTCCTGAAAAAAACGCGGTATAATTCACCTGGATGTACAAAGTAGTTGTGATGATATGTACGGTTTTACTAACACATATCAACGTTGCAAAATTGTGCTTAGGCATTAAGATTTGTTTTACCCTTAGGCATGAAGGGGTTAAAGATACCCGGTCTCCAGAAAATTGCTCTAAACAGCAATCTTCCAATAAGATTATATATAAGCATTTACATATTTAGGCAACTTATTTATCTGTACAAGCTTCCCCCGTGTAGACATCCAAAAGCCATAAGATTGCATTATAAATGTGATGTGAGCAGCTCCAGCAGAATTTAAGCTGTAAATTCAAGCCGACATGGTCGGCTACATAAAAGGTTATCTAAAGAAGTGAAAGGAGGGATGGAGGAACTTAGCCAGTACATACTGTTTTTGTCAAATAATTTTTATTAGAACATTTCTGTGAAACAAAAAAACATATCACAAAGGAAAGTTATAAATGGATGAACTTGAGTAAGCCTTCCATTAGAAACATGTTGGTCATGTACTGCAGAGTATCACATTGAAACACAGAGCAGACAAAATACAGAAAAAGTTTATCTGTTCCAACGACAGCAAGCATGTATAGCGGATATAAAAAGTCTACACACCCCTGTCAGGTTTCTGTGATGTTAAAAAATGAGACAAAGATAAATTTATTTCAAAACTTTTTCCACCTTTAATGTAACCTATAAACTGTACAACTCAGTTGAACAACAAACTGAAATCTTTTAGGTGGAGGGAAGTAAAAATAAAAAGCTAAAATAATATGGTTGCATAAGTGTGCACACCCTTAAACTAATACTTTTGTTGAAGCACCTTTTGATTTTATTCCAGCACTCAGTCTTTTTGGGTATGAGTCTATCAGCATGGCACATCTTGACTTGGAAATATTTGCCCACTCTTCCTTGCAAAAACACACCAGATCTGTCAGATTGCGAGGGCATTTTCTGTGCACAGCCCTCTTCAGATTACCCCACAGATTTTCGATTGGATTCAAATCTGGGCTCTGGCTGGGATATTCCAAAACTTGAATCTTCTGGTGAAGCCATTCCTTTGTTGATTTAGATGTATATTTTGGGTCGTTGTGATGTTGAAAGATGCTTTCTAGCAGAATCCTGAAGGTTTTATGCCAATGTTGACTGGTATTTGAAACTGTTCATAATTCCCTCTACCTTGACTAAGGCCCCAGTTCCAGCTGAAGAAAAACAGCCCAAAAGCATGATGCTGCCACCACCATGCTTCACTGTGGGTATGGTGTTCTTTTGGTGATGTGCAGTGTTGTTTTTGAGCCAAACATATCTTTTGGAATTATGGCCAAAAAGTTCAACCTTGGTTTCATCAGACCACAACACATTTTCCCACATGCTTTTGGGAGACTTCAGATGTGGTTTTGCAAAATGTAGCCAGGCTTGGATATTTTTATTCATAAGAAAAGGCTTCCGTCTTGCCACTCTACCCCATAGCCCAGATATATGAAGAATACGGGAGATTGTTGTCACATGTACCACACAGCCAGTACTTGCCAGATACTCCTGCAGCTCTGTTAATGTTGCTGTAGGCCTCTTGGCATCCTCCCAGACCAGTTTTCTTCTCGTCTTTTTATCAATTTTGGAGGGACGTCCAGTTCTTGGTAATGCCACTGTTGAGCCATATTCTCTCCACTTGAAAGACCTACTAGAACAGCTGAACTTTATTTGGGGTTAATCAGAGGCACTTTAAATAACAGGTGTGGGCGGACTCCTATTTAACATGATTTTGAATGTGATTGCTTAATTCTGAACACGGCTACATCCCCAGTTATAGGAGGGTGTGCACACTTATGCAACCACATTATTCTAGTTTTTTAGGTTTACTCCCCCCCTAAAAGATTTCAGTTTGTTTTTCAATTGAGTTGTACAGTTTATAGGTCACCTTAAAGGTGGAAAAAGTTCTGAAATGATTTATCTTTGTCTCATTTTTTTAAATCACATAAACCTGAAATTTTAACAGGGGTTTGTACACTTTTCATATCCACTGTATATAAAAGGCTTTTTAGAAAAGTACAGAATTGCATTGTATATAACATTCAACAACTAAAACAAAACTGGTAACAAACAAGTGTCTGCATACACCCAAAAGCATGTAAGTAAATATCCATGTGTGTCAAAACCTCTACCTCTCACCACTATTTGGGCGATTGTACAACTCGAACCAAGGAAATGTGAATCCCGCCTACTTATGTAATGATACACCCCAGCTATTGAAGTTAACACTGTGGCAACCAGAATGAAACCCGTGAGAGAGGGACCAGGCCAGGTACCATGAGTCAAGGTTCCCATTATTTGGAAAATGTTTTCGGTGTGCCCCTGTATTGATATATCTGGTTTTCGATTAGTAGGGTATTATTCACCTGAATTCACCAGTTCTCAAATGTGGAAGGACTGGGGGATAGCCACTTCATAGCTATTGTTTTGCTGGTATGTATGATAGGTATTCTAGTCTCAGGAGAGAAGCAATCCTCGTCAATTTCCATACATTCAATTTTTAGATACTTTCAGAAGAAGAGAAGGGCTATGACATGGAAGTAGGGAGGGGCTGTGCTAGGTAATTGACTTTTACTGAAAAAAAACAAATATGATACTAAGCTTGAAAGTATATTGCAAGTGAAAAAAAAAAAAAAAAAGACTACAATAAAAAAATAAAAAATAAAAAAAAGACTACATGGCATACTTAAGGTATTTTGTAACAGAACAGTAAGTACTGACAAAGCTACATGTTAATCTCTAAGTCTTTCAGGCAGCACATAAGCAAGAATTCAGACAATATGAAATAGTAAGCAAGGATTACCCAAAGCAGACAGCATAATCCTGTACACTCTTGTACGATTCAGCTGCCATTGCTGTATAGTAATAAGGTATCATCTGTAGGGAGTCAAGCTAGGTCAGGTGAGTTTAGAACAACCTCACCTTCTTAAAGCTTGGGACAATTATGTCAAATATAACTGACATGATAAGCCTATACTATGCCATTAACATTAAATGAAAAAACACAATAAATAGAAAAGGTAGGAAAGAGGAGAAGGACCATGAAGAGATTGCCAGTCCCTCCACTCTCCCATCCAGGCATTCAGCACAAATATCCTAGAAAGATAGGTCGAAGCATGAATATCCACTCAAAGGCAGGTCCTTCCTATAATGCCATCATTCATAATCTTTAATGTATTGCTCAAGTGTATCATGTAATCGTGCTGTGAGGTTCTCCATCAGTTTAACATCACTAATTTTAGCATGTAGCACAAGAAAAGACAGAGACTCTATTTTTTTTTTTCAGTTGAGTGCCATCAGACATTTAGCTACAGTAAGTACTGTATATGAGATACATTTCTTGGCACTTTTGGAGAAAGCCGGTGGAGGTAAACCCAAAAAGGAAAATTTTGTGAGTAAAGGAAATACTTGAATGGATAAGAGCTTGGACCGATTCTCAGTAAGGTTTAATAGGCAGTCATTGCCAAAATATATGGTAAAAGGAGCCTCTTTCTCTTTCACATCTCTAACAGCAATCACAGATTGTGGGTTGGATGGAGTGGCGAAGCTCTGTAGTTTGGTACCAATGGAAGATTATCTTCTTTAGGTTTTGTTTGTAGACAGTACAAATCAAACTTTTCGCTGCCTGGGACCAAATGATCTGCCACATCTGCACAGACACTTCCTCCCCTAGAATTGTCTCCCATTAACACATGCACTGTACTAATGTTTCCCTGTGATTTGCATAGTGTACTCAATGTTTTGAAGATGTCCAATATTAATCCCTTTTTACAAAAGCCCATGAGGATGGTTCTTTCAGGTGATAGTCTGGAGAATTGCAATGAGGGTGTAATGGAAGTTCTGTAGATATCCATACAATGCACTATATGGTAGATTAAATTTATATTTGGCTTCTGCAAAGAAGAGTAGTTTCCTAGTCCTAACATCCACTAGGCGCCAAAATTGAAATAAGACCTTTGACATGCAAGGGGAAGTCATCAATACAGTCAGGCTGTCTAGTATTATAGGACTGAACACAAGAACTGTCATTAAAGCAGTATTAAACGCAAACATTTATTATATTGCAGCTTATCAATGCTTAGATGTGATAGTTGCATTACTTTTTTTTTTTTTAGGCTTTCCTTCTTCTACTTTCATCTGGTAATCCAGTCAGTATGTCTGTTTTTCAAAAGAAAAAGCACTCTTGCAGGTGTATCAGTTTCAGGGATAAGACAAACCAATTTACACTGACAGGGGTGCTCACGATGGTCATTTTTTATTTTTATTTATTTATGTAAAACCTTTATCCCAAAATGAAAACAAAAACTTGCTGTAACTGCTGATAAAGTATTATTAACTGGAGTTTGGCTTTAATTTGTTGGTGTGTTAAAATTTGCTAGTACATCTAAAACTCCCCTCCCCCAAGACCAACAGTGCTGCTGTTCAAACATGCCCCTGTGATCATTCCTCCAGAATGGGGGCACCTCTAGGAGGTGTGTTACTGGCCAGATCACCAGGTGAAAACAGAGGGGAAAACTGTCTTTATTAAAAAAAAAAAAAAAAAAAAAAAAAATAACAAATGTATGCAGCCATCACATCTAATGATTGGTAAGCAATATATTAAATTTTGGTTTTGGGTTCAATACCGCTTTAAAGATGCCTCTGAAATCGAAGGATGTTGGAGGCTTGTGGTTTTCCAGAGACCACAGAGGAAAGTGTAAGTGTGTGTGTACGCCTGCCTATGTGGTTCTACTGCAGCAACTGTATTCAACAGTAAGAAATTAGGATATACAGGCACCAGCATTCTTTTCCATATGACGCCGCCATCTTTTCTACTTCAGTCCATCGATTGTAGGCATACAGGGTAGACCATGAAGCAAGATAGCTACTATAAATGTGTCTCAGGCCTTTTGGATGTCTACCGGTAAATAACATGCACAAAATATGTTAAATGCACACATAAGAAGACTGGCAACAAGGTCTCTTTGATTTTTCAGTGTATGTACCTGTAACTTTCTAGGTTGGTGACAGGGTCTGGTTGAGGCGTACAGCCACTGTTTTAAGGATCAAGACATACACTTTTCGCCAAGACTTTTAAAAACGCCTGCCAATTCATGCCAAAACCTTAGGATACTTTACCTGCGCAGTATGCCTGTGTTTAACAGATGCTGTTTTTCTTGCGACAAATTTTGCAATTGCCCTAAACTCATTCTAACCGATTTTTGAAGACATCCTTTTCTTGTCTATGGACTCATTAAAACACATTTCATTTGTATCCATTTTATACCAGAGAAAAAAAGATCAAAAGCTTCATACAGAATTCTGCTTTCTACTAATTTATATGAAAGACCCTTACTTGGGGTGGTAACAGTGGATGTCTTCCTGATTGAAGGTGGAAGTGAAGAGGATCGTGGACCAACTGGAGAGTTAAGACGGTTTTGCCGATCTCTACTTTTATCTGGAGAAGCACGAGGAGTATAGCAGTCACTGGACGCCACGGTCTGTTTACTTGACAGTCCTGAAAGATTTATCATACACACACAGCTGTACACCTACTGTCAATTAGGGCTTTAAAAGGGCAATTACAGGCTTTAATCGAAACCAATCAGAAGACATAGATGCACTTTTCAATATATATTCTTGTTTTTTTTCCCCACTGGTTGCAAATGATTTCTTTATAGAATGTACTGTATATGCTCTCTCTCAAATTGTGAATTGCTTCACACATTACTATTGGAGTTATATAATGACCCTTTTCGGCTTTACATTCAAATAACGAGGCCAATAGTGGTGGGTCTATATGTTTTTCTCATTTTAGTTTATGATTTTCATATGCTTGAATAAACTTTTGAGGTTTTAATTTTTATGTGTTGCACTAGACGATTTATAAAGCAACTGGATGCCTATGGTGCTAAAAATGTATGCAAGGGCAAAAAAATACATTTTTGCAATACATGCATATTTAGCATTTTAACAAACCTACAAAACTCGTAAGTCCTGTTGTGAGCTAACAACACACAGCATTTTTGTGGACTAAAGGTTTTCGGCCTTTGCTAGTTTTTTATGGGTTTTTTTTTTTTTTTGCAAAACTACGCAGATCCTCTCACTCTTCCATCTCAAGACATTAAGTATTCTGTAGTTCCAAGACCACTTGCCCTCCTGAGGATTTACCTCCCTTCATGACTAGGCCATTTTTTGCATTACGGCACTGCGTTATTTTAACTGACAAATGCGCGGTCATGCAACGCTGCACCCAAATGAAATTTACGTAATTTTTTTCCAATGGATTGAGCTTTCTTTCGGTGGTATTTGATCACCTCTGCGGTTTTTATGCTATAAGCAAAAAAAAAAAAAAGACCGACAATTTTGAGAAAAACAATATTTTGGAATTTTTGCTATTAAACATGTCCAGTAAAAAAATTTAAAAAAATAAAATTTCGCCATAAATTTAAACCAAAATGTATTCTGCGACATCTCTTTGCTAAAACAAAAAATCCCAATATGTGTAAATTAATTGGTTTACGCAAAAGTTATAGCATTTACAAATGGCGGTATAGATAATGGGATTTTTTTTCCATACAGCGGCGATCAGCGGCGATCAGCAACTTTTAGCGGGACTGCGGCGGACATTCTGACACTGGGGGGGAAACTAACTTGGTGTCATTGACACTCCAGTGTCACAAATACAGTGATCAATGCTAAAAAAAAAAAAAGCAATGACACTGTACTAATGGCACTGGGCAGGAATGGGTTAATGTGAGGGGCGAACAAAGGGTTAACTGTGTGCTGGGAGTGCTTTACTAGGGGGTGGGTGTTCTTCACTGTAAGAACACTGATCGGTATGGCTGTACTGTGCACAGCCATCCCGAGCAGTATGCTTGAGCTGACAGGGAGGAAGATTGCTTGTAAACAAAACAATATTCCTCCCCATCCGAGATGCTCGGTAATCACCGGCCGTGACCGTGATTGACATCCACGACTGCAAATGGCACGCGCACCCCCCCCCTGGAAATGCAAAATCACATACTGTATACATTATATATATATATATATATATATATATATATATATATATATATATACACACACACACACGTGATTCTGCGTACAGGTGCCGCCCTGTAACAGTATATCTGCTATAGGGCGGTCCTTAAGCGGTTAAAGTGAAAAAACACTGCACCAGAGCACTGCAACCAAAAACGCTATTAATGTCATTTTTAATATTCAACACAAACTCATCTAACTATGTTTCCATGTTTTATTTTGCTGAGAAATCTCTTTGAAAAACACACCCTAGCATTTCTGGCCATGCCCATCTTGAGTAAGGGCAGATGATTCATGTAGCATTTTCTTCCTGGAATCCATCCGTCCTTGGCACAGGCATGCAGGTAGGAGGGTTTACTTAACTGAGAAAACCCCCTCCCATGAATACTCCTGGGATGTATGACATTATTGGCCTTTGCATGGAAACCAGGAAGTGAAGATATGTAAAAAAAAAACCTAAGTAAATCTGATATGCTTTCCAATCTATTTATGAATGATAGCAGCATAAAGATTAAAAATAGTTAATGTTCATTGGGAGAGTAAAATTCCACCTAACATAACACAAAAAATGTGCACTTGACTGCCCTGAAGTATGTGGCATGATCAACAGGTATTTAATCTTGTTCTATATGTTTATTAAAATTCTATCGAGTATTCATGCAAATATTGGAGATTGCATGGTAAGGTGGAAGTAAGGTATTACATATCGAGTTATATAGCCTATATAGGCCATGGTATAGAAATGAACAAACAAAATACAACAAAAAAGTTGCATATCAGGTCATAAACAAAACCGAAGAAGATCCTCCATGAGGGTGGCTGGGATAGTAAATGTCCAGGGAAAGATGAGTTGGGGGGAATCGGACATGGAGTGTTTTGAAAGGAGGGAGAAGGGGAGTGTGGTGTAAGAAAGTAAGGTTATCTGAAGGGACTGCAGGCAAAGGCCCCATCATAGGTAGATTAGTTGTGTGCATAGTTGGCAAAAGTCCCGAAATGCCTGGGACCCTCTCCTGTACTACTCCTGCAGTCTCTGACCCTCTCCTGTATTATGCCTGCAGTCTTTGACCAATACCTGTGCTACACCTGCAATCTCTGACCGACTCTTGTCCTAAACCTTCAGTCTCTGACCCTCCCCTGTACTAACTGCAGTAACCTCTATCAACCAATCCGTGAGTCTGGACCTGTTCTTCATGTTTACATTATTAAAGTTTGTGTGTGTTTATTTTTTTGGGATGTTGGTATGGAGAGCAAAACTGCAGAGGGGGAGCCAAAGAAACTCTGACTCTATTTAATCACACCCCCTTTAAGCCGCACCCAATATTTAGCCCACTTTAAACCACACCCATTTTTCGCCTACCACCATCTTTTTCAAGCTGAGCCACACCCACAAATGAATGCCCCACCCCTAATTAGCATACTGCTTTGCCTACACTGGCTTTCTGGACATACAGGAAAAAAAAAAGTGTCCCTAAAATTTTTTTTGTTAAATATTGGCAACTATGTGGCCAATTCACTAAAGGTTACTGCATGCGGTATGAAGGTCATGTGACTCATCTTTCAGAAATATCACATAAGATAATATAAGAGTCAATTCATCAAAGTAAAATATCAAATGTGAGGTAAATACCGCACATTTATTAAAATAGTGAGATAAATAAAGCAAGAAAACATGAGATAAATCATAGAAGTCAATTCATTAAAAAACACACATATTCGTTATTTATCACCAGGTGTTTGCTGGCGGTATTTTAGAAATGTACAAAATAACAATTAAAGGAACTCTGCACTGGCTAGAAAGTGAAAAGTGTCAATGTAAAAATGTTCTCCTCTGAGCTCAGGAATGAAAATAAATTGTAACATTTCATCAGAGGGAGATCATTTTGTGAATGAAAGCACACTACAATGTTTTCATAGTTTCACATAATTGCTGTGTGCATTCTGGTGCAGTGTTAGCCTGCAAAAAAAAAACAATTTGTGAAAAAACACCAAAAATAAATGCAAAATTTAAGTGCTAGATATTGCAAAACATAAATATTTAGCACATTCAGTAAATAATGCAGGAGTTATTTTAACTCAAAAATTCATGCGGTATATATCTCTTAGTGAATTGACCCCTATGTGCCAAAACTGGAGGGCAGGAACAGTTCAGCCAAAGGTTTGTAAGATTGACAAAAATGTGGCAATCAGAAAATCACTTAAAGCGGAGCTCCAAAGGGGAAGTTCCGCTTTAAGGACTGCTCCCCCGCTCCCCCTTAAGGATTGGCACCTTTGGAAGGCGGAGGGGGGGGGGGGGAAGCGGGAACGCGAATTTGACAGGTACCCGCTCCCACTTCCGGTCCGATTGCCTAGGCATCGGAAGCAGAAGGTGTCCTCCCTCCCTCCCTGTAGTCTTTTGGGACACGTGACAGGTCCCAGAAGACTACAGGACCATTCATGAAGCGCAGCGCTACTCGCGCATGTACAGTGGGCACCCAGCTGTGAAGCCGCAAGCTATCACAGCCGGGTACCCACACTGAAGATGCCAGCCTCCTGGAATAGAGGACGGCCGGCGAAAACTGGCTGTGGGGGACACACCGCGGGACCGAGGGACAGGTAAGTGACTGTTTTTTTAAAAATCAGCAGCTACAGTTTTTTTGTAGTTGCCGACTTTATTTTTTGACAGTGTTAGTGGAACTCTGCTTTAATGTGGAGTTCCACCTGACAAAAAAAAAAAGTCAGCAGCTCCAAAAACTGCAGCTGCTGACTTTCAAAATATAGACATTTACCTGTCCCTCGGTCCAGCGGTGTCCCTCACCATCGCTGGTTTCAATGGCCATCTTCTCTCAGTGTGGGCACCCGGCTGTGACAGCTTGCGGCTTCACAGCCGGGTGCCCACTGCGCATGTGCGAGAAGCGCTGCGCTTTGTGAATGGCCCCGTAGTCTTCTGGGACCTGTCACATGTCCCAGAAGACTACGGAGAGGGAGGGGGGCGATCGCAGAGGAAGTGGGAGCGGGTACCTGTCAAATTCGAGTACCCACTCCCCAAAGTTGCCAAACCTTAAAGGGGAGCGGGGGACAAGTGCTTAAAGCAGAACTTCCCCTTTTGGGTGGAGCTCCGCTTTAAGTGAATCTAGATCTGTTCTCGATTATACTAAAAGGTGGGGCACTTCCAGGCCTTTGCTTTCGTCTGCTTCAAAGCTGTAAGGCCTAATTCACACGGGCATTGAAAGCATGTGTTTGAGGGGCGTTTTTAAAGCTCAAGCGCCTATGAAAATGATAGTATAGGACAGCATACAGTGCTGTTCACATTAACAAAAAACATGAAGCTTCAAAATTCAAGCCTCATGTCGAGTCTGGAGGAGTTTGAAGCCTTTCAAGCCTATTCAGGTCTATGGTGATGCTACACAAACGTGCTGGCAGGTGTTTGCGGTATGTTTGCAGTTTGGTTGCAGCACGTTAATAACATTACAGTTAATTAAAGGTGTTTGTGGTGCAGTTTTAATGCTTGTAAAATGCTTACAAAATGCCACAAAACTATGCATAGGGAGTTTGGGGAGCATTTTTAACAACACTGGTAAAACACCAGTCTAACACCCATACTAAAGCTTGTCAATGCCTGTCTTAATGCCCATACTATTGCTATAGGAGTGTTTTTTAAGAGTTAGAAATTTAGTCAAGTGTGAACAAGCCCTAAGAAAAAGGACCACCAGTTTTAACTGTGAAGTAGTAATGCCAGGAGATTTCAGATCATCGGGTATTTTTTACATTTATGCAACTCATAAAAAAAAAACACTTTCAAAAATGAATTTAAGAGGTTCAAAGGGAGCTGATGAGAGAAGTTCATTGTCAGGGTTTACACACACTTTAATGGAATACATAAATACTTGTATATCGGATGAAGTGTTTCCACAATACCCTAGAGCAGTGGTCGCCAAGCCGCGGCTCGCGAGCCACATGCGGCTCTTTACACACTTTAATGCGGCTCTTCTGTGTGCCGGGTGCCCGCTCCCCTCCCTCCTCTCAGGCGGCCGCCCCAAAAGTCAGGACTCTGCAGCTAGGCCAGCAATGGGCAAACTACGGCCCGGCGGACCTTTTAATCCGGCCGCAGAGCGTGATCCAAAAAAAAAAACAGCCAGGGCAGCGCGCTCAAATGCAATGATTGGCCAGTCTCTCTGCTACTCACATCCTGATAGCCAGTGATTGGCTGTCAGGATGTGTGTAGGCGGGGGGCAGCGTGACGAACGTGAGAGGAGCTAGGCTCCTCTCACAGTCCGCCCTGAAGACCGGAACGGCGCGGGAACACGGCGAGAAGAACGCGCGGAGCAAACGTAAGTGAATTGACACAGGGGGGACTTGGCTTACTACTTGCTACTTACTTACTACTACTATATGAGGGATGAATTAATATGGGGGATGAATTACTATATGGGGGATGAATTACTATATGGGGGATGAATTACTATATGGGATGAATTACTATATGGGGGATGAATTACTATGGGGGATGAATTACTATATGGGGGATGAATTACTATATGGGGGATGAATTACTATATGGGGGATGAATTACTATATGGGGGATGAATTACTATATGGGGATGAATTACTATATGGGGGATGAATTACTATGGGGGATGAATTACTATATGGGGGATGAATTACTATGGGGGATGAATTACTATATGGGGGATGAATTACTATATGGGGGATGAATTACTATGGGGGATGAATTAATTACTATATGGGGGATGAATTACTATATATGGGGGATGAATTACTATATGGGGGATGAATTACTATGGGGGATGAATTACTATGGGGGATGAATTATGAATTACTATAAAAACTTATTGAAACTAAAAACAGTGTACCATCCTATGTATTTTCAGTTTTAAAAATGTGGCTCTCAAAATAAATTTTCAATCGTGGTTTTGGCGAGATTTGGCTCAGTTGAAAAAAAAAGGTTGCCCACCACTGCCCTACAGGCATCTTTCTTTCTTTCTTTTATATTCTATAATAAAATTATTTCCAATTGGTCTGTGACTTAAACTTCTTGGACAAATATGTAACCTGGTTCAGGGTCTTTTTGCTTCCCCCACCAGAACCATTTCCCTCATTTATTTCTGTTGCTTTATTAGAGGCCACTGATTATAAGGTTAGGTATAGGTTATAAAAGGCTTAAAGGCAAGGCAGTAAGTAACTAAGCTAAACATTTGCCGTTTTATTATTTCCCTCACAAAGGCATAACTGTGCATTCTCATTTAATATACACTTAGGAAACAACCCGAATGCTTCAGACAAATATATAAAAGGGCAGCATTGTCCGGTTTTCAGCCTGTGACAGATTTATCAATGACTTCTGTTGTCTTCCGATAATGCACCACATTGTTATACACTGCAAAATGACTGGAAGTGTTGGAGCAGCACACAAAAGAATGTGTTTGTGTGATAAATGTGGATGATGTGCCAACTTACTATGAAATGAGCTTTCTTTATTCCAGCCCTTTAGCCCCTTCTCTTCTTCAAAGTCTCTTAAGGCTTTTAGAATCGGACTCTCCTGAGTACTGCTGTCTTCTGTCTTGGGTTTAGCTGCCATATAACTATGTAAAGCATCCTTTTCTGGTGGGGAATGGTACCTTAACAAGATTAATGACATTTTATTATTATTGAGTTAATTTGTAATCATAATGATCACTATATTTTCAATCGAATCAATCAGACTTATATATAGATTTATAGATACAAAGACAAAGCAGAACTCAAGGGGCTTGAAAGGTGATAGCGTTTTATTTTGACATTTCGTTGAGGCACAAGCTAGTCTTCCTCGGACAACGGTAAATTAAAGCAACACAACATATATACCCTAAACACACAACATATACACCCTAAACACCCCCCTCCCATCAAATTGCCAAATTCAGGCACTAATGGCAGGTGGCAGAGACAAGAAAAACAACATGACAGTGCATAATGCTCCTCAGCAAGATGTCCGCCCAAGCTGAATTAGGGCTGCAATAGAAGAAAATGGTGGATAATTAGAAAAAGTACTGAGCAATCTGCAGCACCAGAGATACAGATCTAGAGATTAGCCCAACAACAGACATGAAACCAGTAGAAAATCACAGAACAAACACGCTGAAAGTGAAAATAAACAGAACTGTGATCCATTAAAAGCAGCAGAAAGTCTGAGCTTAGAACAGGAAGAGCACAGAAGTTGGTAACACCCTTAAAAGAGTAGTCACACGGCCTCCCCACCCCTGCTTGTGCGCGCTGCCTGGGAGCACGCAGCACCGCAATCTGGTGCCCGCTGTGTCCTCCAGACACAGTGGAACACCGATCGTTGTACGGGACCTCTGTGTGAGGTCCCGATCATGTGATCACTGATTGGGCAATCAGTGATCACATGCAGAGTAGTAAGCAAGATGTCACTTCTGACATCATTGCTTACTACGTGTGAAATCTGTGAATGATCACAGAAGTCACATGGTATAAGGCTATTCACAACAGCCTTGTACCATGTGACAAGCTGTGACCAATCACAGCTCACACAGTATTTCTCAATGGCTGCAAGAATGCAGCCAGAGAGGAGAAATGATTGCTCTTACAGCCTTTATGGGTGTAAAAAGCAATCAGTGTAAAAAAAAAAAAATCTTCCTCACCCCCCACAAGTAGTAGAGTGTCACATGGTGACACTGGTACTGCTAGGGTGACAGTATGTAAAAAAAAAACAAAGAATAAATATAAAAAAATGAAAATGATACATTTTTTTTTAAAAATTATAATTTTTGGTTATAAACTAATTTGGGTTATTTTTTTTTTTTACTTAAAAGACAACTGAATAAATTTTGACCAATATTTATAATGACATATGCCGATGTCACTGCAGCATTCATCTTTATAGAAGGTAGAATGCATGTCATGTCCAGCCAACGGGCGGGAGCTATCCAACTTTTCAAGTTAACAAGCTGGTGATTGGTTGCTAGGTATTCCTAGCAAGCAATCACCTGCCGGTTAACATGAAAAGCATGTCCCACATGTCCCCCCCTCTGTCCAGGCATGCAGTGCCTTTTGCCTTCTACCTGCTGTGCAAGGTAGTAACAAAAAAGAGGATTGTGAATGGCAGGGGGGAAATATAAGGGAGGGGGAATTCATATAAAGGGGACTGGGCTGCAAGGAGGGGGGGGGGGGAGGAGGCTGTGAAGAGGACCAGTATACAAAAATGGGGGGGTTGTAAAAGGGACTGGGGTGCAAGAGGGGACTGAGATGCAAGTAGGGGGGGGGGACTGTAAAGGGTACTTGGTGCAAGGAAGGGGGGCTGTGAATTTGACTGGAGTAGAAGGAAGGGGGATTGTAAAGGGGACTGGGGTGCAAGGAAGGGAGGAACTGTGAAGCAGACTGAGATGTAAGTAAGGAGGAGCTGTAAAGGGGACTGGGATTCAAAAAAGGGGGTTATGAAGAGGATTTTGGTGCAAGGAAGGGGGGTTTAGAAGACTTTGGTGCAAGGAAGGGGGGTTGTGAGGACTGGGGTGCAAGGAAGGAGGGCTGAGATGCAAGTAAAGGAGGTCTGTAAAAGGGACATGAGTGCAAGTAAGGGGGGGGGGGGGGGTTGTGCTGTGAAGGGGACTGAGATGCAAGTAAGGTTGAAAAGAGGACTGGGGTACAAGGAAGGATGGCTGAGACGCAAGTAAGGGAGGTCTGTAAAAGGGACATGAGTGCAAGTAAGGGGGGGGGGGGTGCCTGTGAAGGGGACTGAGATGCAAGTAAGGTTGAAAAGAGAACTGGGGTACAAGGAAGGGGGGCTTTGAAGTTGACTGGGGTGCAAGGAAGGGGGACTGTGAAGGGGAATGGGTGCAAGGAAGGGAGGAACTGTGAAGGGGACTGAGATGTAAGTAAGGAGGGGCTGTAAAGGGAATTGGGGTGCAAAAAGGGGCTGTAAAGAGGACTTCAGTGCAAGGAAGGGGGCTGTGAAAGGGACTGGGATACAAGGAAGGGGGGCTGTGAAGTGGACTGGGTAGCAAGGAAGGGGGGTTGTGAGGACTGGGGTGCAAGAAAAGGGGAGCTGTGAAGGGGGCTGAGATGTAAGGTGGGAGCTGTAAAGGGGACTAGGCTGCAAGAAATGGGGGCTGTGAAAGGGACTTGGGTGCAAGCAAAGGGAAAGCTGTGAAGGGGACTGAGATGCAAGTAAGGTTGTAAAAAGGACTGGGGTGCAAGAAAGGGGGGGCTGTGAAGGGGACTGAGATGCAAGTAAGGGGGGCTGTAAAGGGGACTAGGGTGCAAAAAAGGGTAGCTGTGAAGGAGACTGGGATACAAGGAAGGGGGGGGGGGGGGGCTGTGAAGGTGACTGATGCAAGAGAGGGCTGTTAAGGGGACTGGGGTGCAAGGAAGGGGGGCTGTGACAAGGACTGGAATTTAAGGAGGGGGGCTGGGACGGGGACTGGAATTTAAGGAAGGGGCCTGTGATGTAAAGGGGTGACAGACAACAATGATGTGAAGGGGAGGGGGCTGAGGACACTGATGTAAAGATGGGGGAGTTGTAATGTGAAAGGGAGACCAAGGACAATTACGTAAAGGAGGCACTGTGATGTAATACGGAGGGATTTGAATGCAAAGGGGGGGCTGTGCTGTGAAGCAGGCACTGTAATGTAAAGGCGCTGTATTGTACAGAGGGGTGCTGTGGTGTAAAGAGGGGGTTCAGCAATTTTAAAGGTAGTATTGTGGTATAAAGGGAGGGCTGTGATGCAAAGAGGGCTGTGATGTAAAGGGGAAACTGTAATGTAAGGGGGGGGGGGCTGCGATATGAAGAACCCACGTCATAGCACAAACATGAGACATGGACCTCTGCTTGATGAAAGTTTTAATGACCGGACCTCCATGAATTTTAATTCAATATCCCTGCTCTAGAAGGACCACTGTCGCTACAGAAACCTTCAAAAAGGTGCATGCCCAAAGGCTGCACCATCATCTAGAAATCCAAATTTCACATGTATTCTTTACTTTATGTAAAGGTAAACTTTTATACTTCAAATACTTCACTGCTATTTATCTCTACCCACCTAAACTATTGAACATTCCATATTATTATTTGAAACATGAAAACTCTATATTAGGTTGCAATTGACAGGAGAAACTAAACCTCCATATTACTTCTTGTATTTCTTTTTTACAATAACTATAGAATTTTCCTATTTAACCCCTTAAAGTGTTACTAAACCCACAACAGTAAAATCAGTCTGTATATGCAGTAAATCATGCTCGTTATACTCACTGTGGAACCTAAGGGTTAATCCTCTGCATTGTGGTAAACCGCTGTTTGATCCTGTCTTCACTGATCCTCCCATTCTTCCAGTGCTCCCCTCTTATTTCTTGATAAGACACATGTGGAGACACTCTGCACATGTTCTGTTTGGGGTGTATTGCTGGAGAGATTTTTTTTCTTTTAAATCTTGGGAGAGTGCATGTGATCAGCACAGGGCCGATCAGCACTATCCAGACAGAGGTCAGGGGTCCTGCATCCTCCTACAGGAAAATTAAAACTCCTCCTGCAAGCTGTAACCAGTGCTTTGCTGCACACTGATAGAAGTCACAAGACTGCTCTAACTTCTGATGAGAAAAGGTATTTAGCAGTTTGTATTTACTAAAATAATTGCATTTCCATCTTCTTTGTACTGTGGGAGACCAGATATACTGTAGTGAATGCAGGGTCCTGGGTTTAGTAACACTTTTTAACTTTATCAACCCCACATACATCCTGCCCTTAGCCATAACTTTCCACTCACTTTCATTTCAAAACTCGTTCAGTATATAAAACTTTTTTTTTCTTAAAGTGGTAGTAAATGCAACATTCTGACTTTCATCCATTAAAATAGTTTATAAAAACCATATGCATGGTGCTCTGTTTGCATTCTTTCTAACCTTTGCCATTCTGTAGAAATTGAGCCAAGTGCAATTTCACAACATCACCGGCGCATGCGCACATTTGAGGCGTTTCACGGCATGCTCTGTATGCCGTCGGTCTGTTCCGGAGGATGCCGTGCCTATGTCATCCACTCTCTGTAGCATTGCATTGCAGTCCCGCGAGAGTACGGCACCATACACAGCTTCCGCAAGCAGCCCAATGCGTATTTGTGAGATTCCAGCCCTTACTATGAGAAAGGGCGGAAGTTTCATACAGGATAGATGCAGGAAAAGAACAGTAAACATGGCATCGGCTTCGGACAAGAAACATAGCCAAAAAAAAACTGGTTGCAGAAAAGTAATTTCAGGAACTGAATGGCTGAGTATAACTACAGCTTAAAGGACGCACACTGTACAAAAGAAAAATATTGAGCACACTGTCAACCATGCAGTGAACACAAACAGATTATGGGCTCATGCAAACATTTGCATGAGGCTGTGTGAGGTAAATTTTGGGCACATTTGCACACCTGGGAGACATAGCTGCAGTGTACAGCTGTCCATAGTAATGAATGGCTTATATGGGTTTCTGGCATACTTGAATAAGCACACACACGTACACGGCCGCAAATCCCTGGACGCACCCAAGCTGGGTTCAGGAATTTACACCTGTGCGTGTATCCATATTTATGCTAGAATGCCAGATACCTACATACAGCCATTCATTATGATGGGCTGCCTTATCCTGCAGCCGTGTCTCCTAGGCATAGAAGTATGTTTGCAGTTTGGCCTCATGTGCCATGTGCATGAGACTTATAAATCATGGAAAGGTAGCTTTTAATTTTCATACATGAGAAAGTAAACCAACCCTTGTAAGTGCTGATCAAACAACGAGAATGTGAATACAGAAAATTAAGGAATATCTGGAAATTATGTATCTGCTTCTTTGCTGTCTTAGGACTTTGTTGCGCTGTTTGGTCAGTGGCCCCTTAGATGGAAGGCAGATAGGGAGGAGGGTAGTAACCGAGGTAAGTGCTGACTAATACACTGGTAGGTCTGTAAGAGTGGGCACAACCACAAGACAGAGTAGGGTTCCTCTTTCCAGTTTACATCTCCAACATGTTGGCGAGAATGTGAGATATATTTTGTGTAATAGCACAGGAACCCTGTACTATCTGGTCAGCAATTTATATCCCAGTCTGCTTGAAATGGAAGAGCAAAATATACTATGTATTCTCTCTGTTCCTGACATGAACATTAGGTTTAGGTCTTCTCATTTACAGAGAAAGGGGGAAGAATAGCCCACTGGCGGAGCTATAAGAAAAAGAGACTGAATGCATGTCAAGGTAGCTGTGAGTCTAGGCAGAGATGTTAAAATGTAGTTAGTGGTGCCAAACCCATTTTGCTAGATTTGAGGGAGCTGATGAAGTGGTGGTTCTGCATGGTTTGCCATGTCTTCAATAAAGGGTCTACCATCCTTTAAATATCTGAGATGGTTCTCAGAGCCCCTTGAGTCAGAAAGTGATAGAGTCTAAATTTGTTGATGAGTAGAAAGAGTTTGAACTGGTGATCTTGGGTAGCAGGGTAAACTTCAGATTTCTAATCCCTGGTGTCATCAGAATCATTTAGGACTCCAAAATATTTAGGCATGGAGTTGTATGAATCACTTTTAGCATGGTTCCTATCAGGGGATGTTAGTTTTGGGGTGGAAGGTTTTTTAGGAGTCCACAGTAGGGCATAGAGTAGAATAGAGAATGCTTTTTGCTCAATATTCTCCAAGCTCCTAAAGGATGAACATTTATTCCAGTAGAGTAATCCATTCAGCTGTACTGGCTGGTGGTAGCAGACAGGATCAGGGGACATGAGTTCTCCTCTGAATTTGGGAATGTTGGAGAATAGATCTGGAAATTTGTAGGGGTTTGTAGGCTTGTAGGAATTTTATTTCACCTTTTAAGGATCAGATAAAGGTGAGGGGCATAGCAATAGGTAGGGTTTGTAGTAAGTACACAAGTTGGTGCAGGATATTCCTTTTCAGAACATGGTTTCCTCAAACAGCTTTTTTTTTTTTTGTTCCATTCATTCATGTTTGCAGCATTTCACACAGAGAACTGAAAACAAGAAACTTTGTTTATTTGTAAATCACATTGTTATGCTTTGCACTTCCTATTTTAAAATAGACTAAGGGCCGTTCACAACAAAACGTGGTGCGGGAAAGGCATGTTCTATGAGCATTTCCTGCACCACACATAAAGCGCTGCACTTGGAAGACGTTCGCAGACACCAATTATTTGTTATTGGCACCACAAACCAGCACGTTTTCGGTCAACAAATTACATGCAATCGCAATACCATGAGCTTTGGTGCATTTCTGAAAAAGTAGTGCTTTTGTGCATTCCCCTGCATTTTGCAGCCTGTTCTAATGAACTGACCCTAAAACTGTTATTTTGTTTTTTGTTTTTTTTTTTAAGTCTCGCAAAACAATATTGCCAAAAGAAATCGTTCCTTGCCTTGAAAATTGATACATTTATTACATAAGTATTGTCATAAGGAATTTCAACATAACTGTTGATTTAACAGCCTCATTGCTAAAATGTAAGAGAGGTATACATGTGCAGGAAATGGATAAATATACTAATACCACAACTTGCATGTCATACAAATGTAGGATTATACAACCTAAAAATAAATAACGTGCAGGAAGAAATTCAGTGATGAGTAAAATCAGAATGTAATGCATGTGGCTAACTGTATTGTGATGATGCCTAGACCTGGAGTCTAAAGGCCCAGCATTCCTGCTCTATGTACACTCCTTTTCCAAATATCTTTTTCTTTTCTATTTTTTTACCTACCTGTTTGGCACATATGAAGTGTCATGTTCATTCCATTCTCCATCTCTATGGCTTTATTGTCAACTGGTTGATTAGTACACAGTGTTTCAGATTTCACCGACTTCCAGGGTGCAGTATCCACAGTATGCAAGTTACCAGCAGTGTGTGACAATTGTTTGCTAAAATGACAACATAAAAACAAAATGGTCTATGTATAGCTCTAATATATGCAGTAAATATTCTTTATGCTTGAAACTCACTCCACAGTGCCTGTTTGTTACTAGCCAGTCTCTCAGATACTTAAGCCATGTAGTTCCTGTCTTTCTGTACAAACAGGAACTTTGCAAATACAGAATCAGCCTGATGATGATAATAAAAAATAGCATTTTTTACTTACCTGTAAAATTATTTTCTTGGAGTACATTAAAAAGGGACACAGAACAAGTAACCAAGACAACAGGGTTATGCTGACGCCTTTAGGAGATTGGACAGAACAGCCCAGTTTAACTTCTCCCACTCCCAGCATGCCTCAGCAAAGCAATAGGAGAGAAAGAAAAATAACCTTGGGAAGAAAATAGGCATTAATCCTTAAAACAATCTGGTCCCTGTGTAACCTGGGGAAGGGTTCTTTATAGGATAAGGTCCCCAGCTCAGAGACTTGACCCACAAAACGTATGGCATTTAGAAAGGCAACCTAGTGAGATAAGACAAGATAATATCTCTGACAGGTTTAAAGGGCATGTTTAAAGCTGACAGAACCAGGTTGAGATCCAGTTTCACTTCACTAATGAGCGAGAGGCAAACAATCTTTGGAAAAGATTTGCTAGGTCCATAGCATACCCCTTGACAGTACTCAAAGCTAATTGTTGATCCACAAATCTAAAATACAGCAATGCTTTTTGGATTCGTATAGGTTTACATTTTTATATTTTTCCACAGCTGCTGAGGGTATATTCATTTTTTTTAATTAATTGTTGATTCAGACCAGATTTAAGACAAAAAAGACAGGGAACATCCCAGAGAGCACTCACAAGGGTGGAATTTCAGTTGCTCACAGCAAGCAAGGCACCCATCGTGAGCACCAGCCAGATCATGTAGAAGAAAGATTTCTTTGATTCCAACATCCAACTGCAGATCCACCACATAATGACAAGTCTGTTCCTGCTGGTCAGGAGCATTGGATGATCCAGAGACTGATCTCACTTGTCCTCCACTATCAGAATGTTGAGTTGCAATGGTTTGGAGTGAAACAGGGCCAATAGAAATGCCTTGAAGGGGGACACCACCAGGCCCAACACTTATGCAAAAGCAGATGGTTTGGTGAATCCATGACCTAAGAGTCTGAGCATGCGAGCTGACAGACTGGATTTTTTCTGGGGGAAAGAATAACCTTTAACAGGGCTGTATCCAGGACAAACCCAGACACTCCACAGATACTGTTTGGAGGTTTATGATTCACTCAAATCTCTGTAGGCTCTGCATGGTCAAGTGGACATTGGCTGTCAAGAATCAAGCTGTTTGTTCCCTTAGAAAGTGGTTAAGATATTCAAGTATGAAAGCAAAGCAGAACAGGAACAAAGAACAGCAGCTTGGTAAAAACGGAGGTGCAGTGGATTAGACCAAAGGAAAGTGCAAGAGAATGGTAATGTTGCATGGCCACAGCAAAACGCAGGTGGCGTTGATGTGCCAGAAGGGGATATATGTTAAAAAACGTTTAGACTCAGAATGGAGCGGATGCCCTCTTGCCTTGGAGATAGTGAACAGGTTTGAATAGAACCCTGGAACCTCTCTTACTGGGACAATGGATATGTTGCCATGTCACAGGAGCTGCACAAGAGCAGTGGGGAGGTGCGCCAATCTTTACTGAGATGTTGGCATGTTTGACACCATGAAATAGGCTGGAGGCAGAGACAGAAATTCTAGTTTGTAGTTCCTAGATACAACATTTTGGATCCAAGTGTCTGAAATGTCCTGGGACCAGACCAGCTGCGAAGCCTAACAGACATCCCACCACTCTGACAAGTAGAAATACCCCCTTATTGGGAGCAGGACTTGGTGGATTGGGAGTCCACGGCTTATGGCAGGAACTGAGATCCAGGCTTGGCCTTGGTCTTGGAGGCCTGAGAGAAAAAAAAGGAACTCTTTTTTTCGTAGAAAGTTAGCCCACTGGAGTTTTTGCATTCTTTTTCTAAGGCAAAAGGACACTCTTCCCAACCCCCATGACTTCCTTCATAAAGCTGTCCAGGGACTTAACAAAAGCAGGTGTTTCCCAGAAAATGCATCCACACAAATACTTCTTGCACTTATGCTCTGCAGACCAACATTTCAGCCAGAAGGTCCTCCGCATAGGCACTGAAAGAAGGCCAATTCTGGATATTTGGTGAAAAGTGTCCCCTAGCGTATCAATACAATTGCGCAGGGTCAAGGGCAGGATCTCCAAAAAGGACAGAAGGATCTGTCATTCTAGAACGAGGATCCCAAAACATGGCCTCAGACCAGACTAGAGTTGGGCAGCTGGATATAGTCTCAACAGCAGGTTGCATGGCAGGCCCTAAAAAGGGAGGACAAGGCCTTAAATAGGGCTTTAAGGCCTTTTAATCACAGGGTCCTAAACACTAGAATGTCCACTATAGGGACAGGCCTTACAGCAAGAAATGGCTGGGTCAAACCATATCTTCATGTACTTCCGCCTGCATGTGGAGTTTCCGGTTTAAGAACTCAGATTTGTACAAGCAACATTGCTCCTTTTGATTGACACGTCTTGGGACCAAACCCCAACCCTTATTCTACAGATTTCCACTTTTCCTCATTCGGTCATGCGGCTGACTGGTACTTTCCAGGAACCCTTATCCCCCCCACCCTGCTACTATCCCCCTCTCTCATTACCCCGCCTTCTCTCTTCTTCAGCTCCAATCTATTTCTATCCCTTGCCTCCACCTTGGAATACTCCCTTTTCCCACCACACCCGGTCCTTCCCCCTTGGATCCCTCACCCCTTTCCCCCCTTACACTCTTCAATTGACTCTTCCAGGACATTACCCCTATATGCCACACACTGATCCCGGAACATTTTTAAATAGGGGTAATACTTTAATTTATTCTATTGCTATTTTGCTCTTGTTGTTATCCATTGTTGGGTTTATGCCTCTTTAATTCCATTTCTGCTTGATACTTTGTAACTGCTGTTACTACATATTGATACTGCACTGCAGATCAGTGTGTTTCTCTCATCTAAATCACCTTTGTTACATGCTGTTCCATGTACCGAATGATTTTTGTACTATCATTTGGTTTTTTCTTTCTTTCAATAAATATTACAGAACAAAAAAAAAGGGAATGGCTGGGTCTTTATCTGAGACAGACTACTTTTTTAAAAACTCTCCAGGACATTGCTGGGCAACACAGGGGTGAAGATCTTTTCAGGATGAGGACAGTGTGACTATACAAGACAATCAGGTAAAGCAAGTGTACAGAAAAGGTTTTAGGCAGCTGAGCCAATTTAAGAGAGCCCAAGCTGGTAACTCCTGGCAAGGTCTATGCAGGTTGCGCTAGGTCAAGAAACGTGTGCACTGTGTCACTAAGGATTGTAATGGTATCCTGAAGTTTGGGGTAAATGTCAGCAGACTTAACCTTCTCATGTATCAAGACCAAGGAACCAGACAAGTTACCATGCTCATTAGAATGAGTAAAAGCAGATGTAACTAAAGGATGATCAAACATGGATTCTGGGAGAATATAGGTGAGGAAGCTCGCTTGAGCCCCCTGCTATCTGAGGCCTCTAATAAGCCTGAAAACCTCCCCATAAATTCAGACATAAGAAAACTCCTCCCTTGACAACCAAGAGGAGAGGGCCACCCCTGAAGAAGTTAAAAATTATGTCATCTCAAAATTTCATGTTCATGTTTCTGAAATGTGCCTGCTGTACCATGTACTTGTTCTCAACATAGTCAGTTTTCTAGCTATGCTGTAAGGGCTCGTTCACACTTGACTGTTTTTCCAACTCTTGCCAAATGCCCCTATAGCATTTAACAAGCGTTGGTCCGGCGTTTGTGGAGCGCCACATGCGCGGTTTAGCGAGAGTTGCTAGGTGTTTGCCAAGCGTTAAAAACGCCCCCCAAACGCCTATAATGAAGTTTGAATGGTGTTACCACTCCGCAAACGCCTCGCAACCGCACCGCAAATGCCGGGCGGGCGTTTGCGGAGCGTCACCAAAGACTTGAATAGGAGGCTTCAACTCCTCCTGACTCGACCAGAGGTGTCCATTTTTCCGCAACGCAACGCTAACGCTCCCTTTTGAACAGTGCAATGTGCAGAATTTTGCCAGGCATTTGGGAAACAGTAAAAACGCTTCCCAAACACCTGCCTGCCGCTTGCTAACAAGGCTAGTGTGAACTTAGTTAAAGATAGTTATTTAGAGGTTGTATAATAAATTGCCATATCACCCAGTAGATGGCCTCCATTCAGTAGCCAAAAAAGACATGCACAAAAAGGGGGGTTGTGAAAAGAAATTCACAGAGAAAGTGGCTACATTATGAACAGAGTGTGACAATCAGAAAAATTTCCAAAAATTATGCTTTATTACATATACAAGTTTGACATTTGGGCAATCGCCCTGGTTTACCGTCACCTCAGTATGAGACAATACACACAGACCTAAAACCATATAAAATGACACCAAGACCGGTCCAAATAATTGTGCAACAAAGACAGTGACTACTAGAGCCTAAAGTCTTTGTAGCACTGGCTCACAGGTGAACACTTCCCACAGGAGGTGTATGCAAAAATTATACCATAGGTATACCATGTAACATGTTGTAAATATGTAGACATATGCTACTACCAAAATGGTTATATCCCAAGCAGAGAGTGTCAAAACATTACACTATAGATATAAAATATCACATGTATGCAATGCAGCAAGCACAGTATGCGTCAAAAAGAGAAGCATGCCTCTAGGCCTATAAGAGACAAAAAATGAATGTCATATATAAAATGCAGTACACTCCTATGCCGGCACATGTGGTTGGGGCTCATTCATCTGTAATATAAGCGACTGTTTCCTTAGGGCTCTTAAATGAGAATAAGCCCCATTTGTTACCAGGATGGAAGGATAGATGCAAATAGCAGAGCACTGCTTGAAATGGTTTCTTCACCACTATATGTGGACTACACACCACTTT